CGTACCGATGGCAAGCCTCTATAAAAAAGCATTTTTAACAATGTTAGAATAATCGCAAGGATCTGTTCTCTTCTTCTTAGGAAGCTAAAATATGAAACTTTATTTTACATATGTATTAATTATTATAAGACGTGTTATTGTCGAAATACTTGAGTTAAAGTGAAAAGTGGTACGATATAACCGACTCTCCCCTACATGTACTTTTTACCTTCTTATATTTTAACTACACTCGTAGCTCTTTCTCTCTCGCACTAATGATTCTATATTAAGTAATCTGTTTTGTTTGAACATTTTGGCCGTATCTTTTTCTATATTACACATATAATACCTAATCCTACTTCATTTACTAAAAATCTAAAATTTTGAAGTCTAGAAACAAAAATCTTTTCAATTTCATACGGTGTAGTTTGATTTCTGTGTTATTTTCTCAAAGTTTTGTTTAATTCTTTTAGTGTAAAAGATAATTTGACATACATTATCTAACATTAAAGTTAATGAGCAGGATCACAATATAGATTAAATTACATATTGTTGAAAATAAAATAGTGAACACCAAATCTATTCGTCTTGTATGAGACTCTCATGTTAATGTTTTATGATAGGTAAATTAAAAAAATATTTTATATGGCTTTTATGACTTCAGAGAAATTTTACAAAAGAAAATGTTTTGAAGTACAAAGAGATTTGAAGGCTGCCAGAGAATATTTTTAAAATGTGAAGATACAATGGAATAATCTTTCTTGGCTTCCGTTTATTACACTTTTTGCTTTTAGAAATATTTAATAGCAGTTTATTTCATTTTTTCTTAACAATTTGATATTTTCAACTCATTAATGCAAATCCATGTAGTATAATTTTGGGAAAAATCTGCTCGTGTCAAATGAAAAGAACCGCATCGAAATTGGTAAATCTGTTAAAGACATGAGACGCCAACAAATAAACAAACATACACATAGATGAGACACAGATGATGCACACCCACGAGCATACAAATATCGACACCAATATTGTAACACTCACTTTTTGTAAGGAATACAAGTTAAGGTATATAAGAGTTAAGGAAATTAAAATTTTAATAAAAGAATAAAATGGTAAGCCAACTTTAACCTCTGTGTCGGAGTTCGGGAGAGTGTGAATGACACATAATCAGAACGGAGTTTTTTTTACTAGGAGCAAAATATTTTACTTTTAGTGAACAATGTGAACAATTTAGGATATTAACCTCATTTTACAAGCACTGAAAAACTTGCACTAAAATCATTTTTTTAAATTACTGACGTATTGTATATTAGTATAATTTATTAGAATAATGAGAACAATCTTAAATTAAAATGACAATTACTATTAGGAATTCTAGTAGAGCAATTAATAAAGCATTAATAAAAAAAGATTACAAGAATCATAAACTCGTACCTTCAAATAAATCCTGTTTTTTACTCAGCTTAACAAAACAATTTCATCAAATGGTACGTCGCTATTTTTATGTATTTACGTTCGTTGATATAGGATATTGTATTATTGATTTTGTACATATCATGAACATACAAACAAAATTATATATAGAACATAGTATTATTTCACTACACACGTCTCTAGTCCGTACTTTAAGCTATTAAAATTAATAAATATCGTCTCTTTAAATTTACTTCGGTCCTGGACTGGCAAATTCTAGGTAATTTCAGTTTGACCCAAAATTACAAGTTTTCATCGGACCAGGAAATTCTTTTATTAACGTATCTCCAAGCTCACGCGACTGTTTTTAAATTACACGATTCAGATTCATTATACGACCCTCTGTACTCGTAAAACCGGGAATTACTTTGACCACAACTTTCACCTACGAATGGCCACAGTTGATATATATGTATTAATTAAATGTTTTACAATTTGTACCACGTTATTTACAGTATTTAATAAAATAAAGAAAGACTTCTTTCTATATGTAATGTAATTTTTCTTTTTGAATATTTTTGATAAAATAATAAATACATACTTACGATTTTTATCTTTCCCGTCTTGCTAGAAATAACGAACGTGCCCCTTTGTCGTTTTTGTTTCACATTAAAAATTAAAGTGAAAAGAAGAAGAGTAATTTATCAATTTTTTTATTACCAATGTTTGGCTTATTGTAATTGTTATATAATGAGATCTAAGATTTTCGCGAGTACTCATTTAAATTAAACTAATAACACATACACACATCTCGTCTGCCCGTAATCACGGTTGTTGTAAAGTAGCCGAAACATCGGGAGTTTGTAGTTAATAGTCAAAAAAAAAAACGCGTAGTAAATCCGAAAATATTAGTTTCATTTAAACGTTATAAAAGATTAGTAAACCAAAAATATGCTACATAATTGTAACATTTTACTTACAATGCAGATATTGGATATTAAAAACTCCTAGACAAATTAAAGTTTATTCAGATGTTGTTAAATAGTTTCAGATACGGTTCGCGTAAACTTAATCGTGTATCAAATTTGAGAAATACATATATACATATATTTAAAAAGGAAACTTAAAAATACAAAACAACAGTACATTGTTTAACAAGGAAAGAAAAAAAGGTTTTGAACAGAATTTTCCTTCTTTATATTTGTTTTTAATTTACTCCACGTTGAAGGAGGATGTAAGTTTATAAACCTGATAGAAATTTGTTCTTTAAGTATCGACTTCCAAATTAAGAACAACAGAATATATTTAAGTATGAACGTACATCTTTAAAGTCTCCACATATTTCACTAACTGGTTCGTACATCAGGCTCACAAGCTCTCACAATCATTCAGGTGTATTACATTAAAATACTATCACATTCATTTCTCACTAATGAATTCTTCTATCAAATTACAAGTTGCTTAATATCCTTTATATTTGCTTATACTCTATAAATTTATAATATTTTTCTTTTTGATATTTGATACTCTCTTAATTGGTGTAATTTTTCTATCTTAATAAAATTATTGAGAGGTTATTGCCAAACTCTTAAATAGATTGGAAAGCTCTTCTTTGAGAGATTTATCAAATAAAAAGAAAATACATATATTATTGAGATCGCTCATAAAGCGTCTAGTTTTTAACTCTAAGAAGGTTTACACTTACTTAGCATTTTTATTTTTGGTAGAAACTTTGCTTTGCTAGTACTTCTAGTACATTTTAATAAATTATACTAGATGGTATATTTATATAAATTATTTTATCATTTTGTTTTCAGTTTAATAAAAGTTTTGATATATTAATATATAATCATAGGTTACTAAATCAAGAAAAGCTAGAGAGCAAATCTTGAGAACAAATTATGTTTTGAAAACAAATTCATGTTGATGATATTTCATAGAAAACTTTTGTTTAGGTTTTCGGCTGCGATAAGATTGTCTATTGTCTTTATAAACAAAAGGCAAAAGCCACAATGAAAACATTTTGGTTAATTATAATTATTAATTATTAGACCCGTTTCTTAACTTATAAAAGATTTGTATTGTAGGGAAATGTTGTTTGGTAATTTTATCTTATTCTGACATATTTTCTATCGGAGTTTATTCAGTTATCTCATGTATATGTATCAAATTTTATTTAAGATATAATTATACTTTATCTACCTTATCTTATTTTGCCGTCCCTGGAGTACCACTCTGTAATAATTTTTGAGCATGAGTCATAATTTACGTTTTTGTTGTGTTCATTGTAAGTTCTGATTTTATTCTTTGGTCTGATAGTTATTGTAGCATTTGCTGCAGTTTTTTGGACATTCTGAGAGTAGAATTATATCGTCGGCGAAGCGTAAGTCATTCATGTTTTCACCACCACAAAAAGATCACAATCCTCTTAAATTGTATAATAAGCAAATTGTTAGATAGAATATAATAAAATAATGAATTGAGAGACAATTTTCAGAACCATATAAATGTAAATAAAGACACATTCAGACACATCTTTCATTTGTCAGGTAACAATGATTTGATGAAACCAAATATTCGTTTGAAAGAAACTTATAACGGTTTTGAGAAATGAGAGATTTAAATCTAAAGAACTAAAACTTATAAAATTGTTTAATAAATTATAACAGTACAAGATTTATAGAGTCCAAACGCAGTTGTATCAAAGTAAGTCGTATCACATAGAAGCTGCAGTTAGTTGAATGTCAATTAGGTTCATGACTAACTAAATAAAAAATATATTTGGCATGTTATTTATTTTTTTGTTTACATTGGCTATATTTTTCATAAATTTTATATCTATAATATACTTTTCATTTATATTTATTAATCATTGTAATATATCTCAAGGCGTGATAATGTTAAATAAGTGAAACACGAATTTTGGTTTGTATTATTTTATGAATACATATTATATATTATATACTATTAAAAAACCAAACCTAAATATTTGTTGCTAAGAACATTACTGAAACATCTGTTTCTAAAACAATAAGAGTAAAAAATCACTTCTTCAGTAGCGGGTCAATTACTGAACTGTCAGCACTGACTCTTGGCCAGATGAAGTGTACACAACACACTTCTCTACATTCTGATATAAGCTCAATCTTATATTTCCATATGATGTTTATTTTCAACTTATTTTGAAAATTATATCTTTTTACTTATAAATTCGACGCATGTGACATAAAAAACGTAGTATAGTAAGTAACTCAAAGTTACTTTAACATTATTGAAAATATCCATATTTAAAAAATCATAATAATAAATGATGGGCATTGCTTTGTGCCCAACTTATCCATAGGACGGAGGAATCATCAAAAAATTGTTATTGAAACACAGTCCATTTATTCTTTAATATATAAATACACATAATAAGCTTAGACAAGTCTCAAATGTCATTTATTTTAAAAGTTAGGTAACAAAATGGTTTCGCTCGATTGATATTTCTTTTCAACGGTTTTTCACGTCCAGCGAACTGAGTTTATAAGAGTTCGCTTCCGACATCCAAATCTCACACTTCACGTGATGCGGACCGACAAACAAACTAATGTTTATAAAGATCCGACTCAATCTGCGGCCAGCGGTGTGATGACTCGCGGCAGGCGGGCCGACGCTGACTCGTTTCGTTCCACGTCCAGTGTAGCGGGCGAGGACGGCGCCGGGAGACGAGGCGGGGACGGAGAGGAGAAGCGGAGGTGATCCCGGCCCGGCGGGGGGAGGGAGGGGGCCGGCCGCGAGGCGGAGGGAGAGGGCGCCCGCACCTCCGGTGAGGGACGCTTCCGACGACGGACGCGGCGACGCACTCGACGCTTGGGTTCGGATCCGCCGTCGAGTAACATTAACGCCTGTTGTTTCATTTGTTGCAATGAATCCATTGAGCCGTCGGCTTCATCAAATACACTCTGGTTCATAACTTCCATTTCATTCTGTAGTGATGAAACTGATTCAGATGTCGCAGCCTCCTCGCGGCATGGGAACTGTATATTCTCAACGACCTCTTCGCTGGGTCTCTCTAAGTCATTATCTGAAGTGTTGTTTGGTGTCATGTCACAAATGCCACGACTGGAGTTTGTGGCTGTTATATCACAGCTGCTGTTATCAATGGTCTCCATTCCCTTGGAATTTCCATTGCTAAGATTATCAATGTTACTTTCTTCTTTCAAAGGAATGACTCTAAAAAAAAAAATTAAACCATATCAATTCATTACAAAATGTTCATATGTATAAAATAAAAATTAAATTTAATAGTACAGTGGATGATAATTTAGAATGATATTTATATTTTTATAACTTAATTTCTATCAAAATAAAGATTAATTAATTAAAATTTCATTTTTTTAAATAAAAATAATGATAATTGTGGATGAATAATGCCTACAATAGGGTTAAAACATAAAAGATATTACTTTAAAAGGTTCATGAGCCTTTTAAAGTGACATCAAATATGTATCTGTAAAATATTCTCTGTAATTGTATTAGGAAAGGAAGGTTAACTACACATAAAATGGATCAACAATAGTCTCTAGTCTGCCTTCAGAATTAACGTTTCAAATCTGAATCCCATGCCCATGACTAAACAATTGTTTAAGAAGTTTAATAACAAAATCTTTGATTGTATTGAACACATACATGTATGTATACAAAGGCCTAGAAAATATTGTCAATCTACTATGTGAGGTATTATCCAAGTAATGAGTATTGACTATCTAACTGTCACAAAATAATAGTTCTCACCTACACCAGTTATAAAACTGATCAATATAAGTAATGTAATAGTTAAGATACAGTGATTCTTTAAGCAATGTAGTTTAACTATTATTCATATATTTAGAGACTACCCTTTCGTGATAAGGCTGTCAAGACTGTTCATTTATATCTACTGTAAATCTAATAGTTTTTAATTTAAAGGTGTACACTGAAGAATATTGTTATTATGACTGCAACACCATTACATTTATGTTAAAACTATACTTGGCAACTTAAACATCATTGGAATCTTACATCTATTATAAGCATATTTTAAATTGATACCCACTGTATTGTCTCTCCTGGAACAAGTAGTGCGAGAGGCTCGCTGGATGGCAACATGTGACCGTCAATACACAGACAGAAGGCATCGTTTATTGAGAATACTTTCTTAATTCGTCTCTCCAACCACCTCACGCGTCGCCGCCGGGGCACCAGCATGTAGCACCGCGAGCGATGGTCCTGGAAGTAACGCCGCAAACACACACTAACTCTGAAACATGCCCTACTCTTCACGGACGAATCTGTTAGTTCTGATTCATTTGAACTATAGCTACAGTTTTTCATGTTTCAAAACATCTATGAATTTATTAATCTTAAAGTAGAGCTTTCTGTGAGAGTTTTTATACTTAGATGTAATGTCTAGATAGAGTAGATATTTTTAAATTTTGATCGCTTAAGAGTGGTACCTACGACCTATAAACTATGATATAAAATATTTAAAATCCAATTTTCTAGCTATATAATATGACTGCCTATCAACAATGTGTTCGAGTTTAGACAATTGAGTATCTGTATTGCCAATCTTAAAACTCTTTCGATACCCTTGCAAGCATTCTATAGTAAAAAACACAATTTTGTAAATGAATTAACTTGTATTTTTGAAATAAATTGTGATAACATTTGCTCAGAGAACTCTTGTAAAAAAAAGTTGGCAATTAGTAATAGTAAAAATCCAGATATTCTGTGTAATAATTAAAATCTTACTTTGTTACCCCTCTAGGAATGAAATATATAGTTCTGAAATGCTTTATAAAATGTTAAAATAATTTCTTTCTTGTCTATAGTCTAGTGAATTGAAGTATAATTTTCATATATGTTTTTTTTTAGAATTATTACTATTTGTATAGATCTCCTACGCAGATTTATTTAAATTTAATTTCATAAGTTTTAAAATAACCCTTTTGTTATGTTTTACCTGCCTTTAAAGAATATTAATTCACATCCTCTTTTAAAGGATTCCAAATTATATACAATAAATATACATATTAAAATGTTAAAGTTAACTATCGATTTATAGAACGTTAATACAAAACCAATTTACACCACTTAAACGATACGCAAGAAATATTGTATGTACTTAAATTCCTCAATTATACAATTGTATATTTGCTAGATGAATTTATTAAAATGTAAAGCGACTTAACTATTATGAACTTGATATCCAAATTTCTTCAAACTCTTTATTTTCAGCATGAGTATGTTCAGTGTTTTGATGCTCCTTGCTAATTGATTGTGAACTTTTATAGGTGTAAAACGTTGTCTTCATAATTATTTGTTAATAAGCCATCAATATTTATTTAAAACCTCCTAGCTTCCCTTTTTTTCGTTGAATAAGAACCATTAGTAAACATTTCGCTGCAGTTTTAGTTAAGTGACACATATAATGTATTAATAGTTTTTTTTTACTCAAGTAGATTATGATATTATGTTTTTATGCATAGTCTTAATGAAGAGCAACAAGTGTGATATTATAGTTGCCTATAACTTATACTACTCACTTATACTATTGATGAATTTGTTTTTATTTTTATCAAATACTTGACTATATGGTAAAAATGTGAATGTATTTAAAATAACGACACTTAAATAAATAATACTATCTTATAAATATATATTTTAAAAGATAATGTGTATTATTTAAAAAAATATATCAATTATTGCCCAATTAAAAAAAAAGAAAATTCTAAAGTAGCAACTTTGGACACATATGTCAAAAGACGATTTTCTTTAACTCTTTTTCTAAAATTTAACGAACTCCAACAAGCTTCTTTATTGTTATACGTTTAATTTTTTTAGTTTTAATTCTTACCCAAAATATTTTACAGTATAAGTTTTAATTGACAGAACAAAGTGCATTCAATCTAAACTGGAAAGTCACACCATTACTTTTATAAATACTCAATAGCTGATAGTTAATTAGTTGGTGTTGTTTTATGTCAATAAGAGAGGGAATAACGTTATAAGTTCTGCTGGTCTGGGGATGGTGTAGCGGCCTGAAGTCGTGAGCGGTGCTCACCCAAGGGTCTATCCGTTGGAAGACTACTAAACTTAAATTCAGTAAAATGTCAAACGTGGAGAACGTTTGCCCGCAAGTTCTTCGTGGAGTGACGAAGGAGCTGCGGCGGCTGGCAGCCAACCCTCCAGCCGGCATCAAGCTGGTGCTGCGTGATGATGATATCACAGACGTGGTGGCGCTCATCGACGGCCCCGGTAAACACATATACATAGAAACACTCTCAATTGTTACCTTATTCATCTACTTAAACAATAAACCTACTAAGTTTTATACAAAGCTCTTTAAAGAAATATTCACACAATATAATCTTTAGGAAGTTGATTGCATTATCACATCATGTCAAGTTCTTAAATAGTATCTATGTTGTAGTTACTCTCAGTATACTTAATGTAAACATTAATCTTATTCTGTTTCTCTTCTCTTAATGAATTTTTTCCATAAGAGACTGGAGAGATTTTTAAGAAATTAGAGTATTATTATATAACTTGCCAATTTTGGTATTGAAGGAGAGTTTGATATTTTTGTTGCTAAGACAATAGTCAGTTGTTGAAACTCGTTGATTTACTTAATGTTATGTATGTGTGAGAGGATCAACATGATTTTTATCATTATCATGTTTGTGGTTTAGTTTGTTTCATTAAACATGTATTTTTACAATCCTGTATCTAATATACAGATTACAACAGTCACACTTGTGTGTGTGATATAACCATACTATAGATTTCTTGTTCTCGGTTTCCTTTGACACTTGATAGTTAACTTAACAAATTGGATATGTCCCTTTAATACTACAGTGTAAACTCTATGTAATGTCACTCGATTTAACGACAAACTCTCTAAAGCGTTGAAATCATTTGACTTTGGTTTGTTTAGCTTGTCTACCATACAATGATACACTACATAGCATCACACCCACTCTCAATAATGACAACAATCTATATATATAAAAATCAATGCCACTTTTCGTTGTAATTCCATAACTCAAGAACGGGCTCACCTATCCAAACCAAATGCTTAGGATTTGGTCGGCATATTTAGTAGATGGTTTATGTGAAGTTTGCACAAAATCGGTCGAGCGGTTCCTCATTTGTCACATTTTTTGTAATAAATGAATTCAATAGAAACTTTTTTCACAGAAACTTTTTTTAAGTTTTGTTGACAGGACAAGCACGTTGTTATGTCATTCATGCCGTCAATTCATTTTGGACGTGGTTTGATTAAATCATATTATCAGCGATAAATTTCTTTTCACATAATTGCATTTGCAGTGCATTCATAAAAACGGTGAGTCCTGAATTTATGTATACTTTTCTAAGTTGCCGTATATGATTTCACATGGCATCATATGCGACAGCTTCTTGGGAATTTGTTTTTTTTTTTGTTCTAATTTTTTTTTTTCGATTTTTAAGCGAAAACATATGTGCATACGGGAAAAATACCACCAGCCAGACGAGCAAATATAGGTCGGCGAACGCGTAATGCAAATGATGTGGCATTACTAAGACGATCACAGACTGCAGATGAACGCGCACAAGCTAATGCATCGCAGCGTGAACGTAATGCACGCAATAGATTTGTTAACCCAGTACCTGTACTGAATCTTGCACGGCCATCACGAATACGTCGTGCTGTTTTGGCTGAAATGATGCGTGCTGCTTTTAATTACAACAGTCAGATTGATTATAGTATGTATGGATACATTGGAATGATGGACGCAATATGTCCACATTGTGATGCGTCTAACTTTCGAGGTGAAACACCCGGCATGTGTTGTGCTAATGGCAAAGTGAGATTGCCAGCATTAGAAACTCCACCCGAACCATTGTATTCATTTATTTTTGGGACATCGCAAGCGTCGAAGCACTTTCTGAGTCATATTCAACAATACAATTCGGCATTTCAAATGACTTCTTTTGGTGCAACTAAAATTATTAGAGATAATTTTATGCCGACGTTTAAGGTAAATACTTCAACAGGATTATTCCATGTTTGTATCAATCTGAAGCATAAAGTATATGTAGGAGGGCGTTATAAGAACAGGAGGGCCTTCATGGGAACTCATACTTTGAAAGGGATAAAGTACAGTCTATTCAATACGACACCAACTCAATCGAAACACTAGATATCACTATCACTTCGATACACAGCGATTCGTCACGAGCGCGGTGCGCGGGCGTCATCTCGCACGATACTGCCTAATAAAGATGGCCGCCCTCGCTACCATCACAATGACGCTTCACTAGGCTAACCTCAGACAGCTAAAAGTCAACCTGACGTATGATTTTTGACGGATGCGCCGTCACGGCCGGACTGACATCCGACCGTCCTCGGGCGGTTCTCGGATCAATGAACTACAGTTGTGTCTATTCCGTTCGGCATCCTGACAAACGACTAGTTACAATCATCAAAATGTGCTATGGTACTTAAGACTTAAGGCGAGCATCTCGTAGCAATTAAGCCAGACGACAACATTCATCTCACCACAATGTTCAAAGCATCCAGAACAAGTCAACCAACTTAAAGGGCTCTGACCCGGACGACTACATTCGTCTTGCCACAATGTTCAAAGCATCCAGAACAAGTCAACCAACTTAAAGGGCTCCTGACTCGGACGACTACGTTCGTCTTACCAGAACAAGTCAGCCAACTTAAATGGCTCCTGACTCGGACGACTACGTTCGTCTTACCAGAACAAGTCAGCCAACTTAAATGGCTCCTGACTCGGACGACTACGTTCGTCTTACCAGAACAAGTCAGCCAACTTAAATGGCTCCTGACTCGGACGACTACGTTCGTCTTACCAGAACAAGTCAGCCAACTTAAATGGCTCCTGACTCGGACGACTACATTCGTCTTACCAGAACAAGTCAGCCAACTTAAATGGCTCCTGACTCGGACGACTACATTCGTCTTACCAGAACAAGTCAGCCAACTTAAATGGCTCCTGACTCGGACGACTACATTCGTCTTACCAGAACAAGTCAGCCAACTTAAATGGCTCCTGACTCGGACGACTACATTCGTCTTACCAGAACAAGTCAGCCAACTTAAATGGCTCCTGACTCGGACGACAATATTCGTCTTACCAGAACAAGTCAGCCAACTTAAATGGCTCTGACTCGGACGACTTCATTCGTCTTACCAGAACAAGTCAGCCAACTTAAATGGCTCTGACCTGGACGACAATATTCGTCTGACCACAATCTGCAGAGCATCCAGAACAACTCAGCCAAACGAATGAACGATGATCGAGACTCCAATGAGCTAGCCCCATCATCTCCACTACTTATACTCATGTGAGTGAACGATGACCCGGACATAGACTCCACAGAGCTAGCCCGTCCATCTTCACAACCTGATCAAGCGTCGACCGGACGTGGACTCCATCGAGCCAGCCCCTGCACGCTTTGATCCATCACTACTAGAAACATCGGCCGCATCAGCCAGTTCCATCGCCACCTCAAACACACCAACTCAAACTTACACAACTCATTTATGGTTTATCAATGTTGGAGGCCATCAGAGCTACTCAGCTACTCACTTTCATCATCTGACATAGCTTCGTTTCCATTCTCTCCACTTCATGACCCGCCGTCTCGGCCTCCTCATTACTTAGTTCAGTGGATATATCAACTAACCCTTCAAAGCCTCTGGGTACTGCGCCCAAGTTTTCATGAGAGTATTTTAAAGTGCAATTAGATTCATCGGTATGTTTCAGTTCGTACCTATCGTTGTCTAGAATTTTAGTTATGATAAAAGGTCCCCTAAACTTTCTTTGCAGTTTAGTTTGGTAACATTCGCTACACTTAACAAAAACGTAATCTCCCCGAGAAAGAAAAAAAAAGGTTTTACTTGGGCTTTGCCTTTACTAAATTTAACTATTTCCTTTTGATCTGCGTTTTCAGTGTTGAGGGAAGTTTTATTCCGGATATTGTCTAAATCTAATCTCGGCTCGTTTGAATTTTGGGCTATTAATGATATCCCTAAAGATTGCGCGCGAATGCCAAACATTAGTTCTGTTGGAGTATATCCTGTAACACTACGGCTTGTGTTATTAAGTGCTAGATGACTCTCCCAGATCAGAGTAATTTAGTAAGATGGGGTAAAGGTACCGAAAACACTTGCTATATCTGCGGAAAGGCAGTTGGAACTGCTAAGCATTTGCTAGTGAGATGTAAGGTTCTCCTGGACAGCGGTCAATTCTCGCGTCGTCACTATAGGGTTTTAGAGATCATACTTGAAGCGGTTAGCCTTTCAGTAGCCAGAGCGCAAAGGGAAATAACCACAAACGAGCGATCAATAGGTTTTGTGAGAGAGAGCACCAGGGCTATAAAATCAAACGTCAAGCCTTACTCTATCCTTAAAGCGGCTTCGGATTGGACTATCATGATGGATACGTATGAGAAACAACACAAAATCCCCGAGGATATTTGTGCGTCAGCCTCCAGACCAGACATATTTCTATATTCGCGTATTTTAAAGCGCGTTGTGATGATAGAGCCTACGGTGCCTTGGGAAACCAACATCCCCAAAGACCATGCCATCAAGGTCATTAAGTATTACGAGCTCACTAACGAACTAACTCGAAATAGGTTCGTCCGCGGTAGAGGTGGGAGCGAGAGGCATAACAGCCAAATCTCTCTACAACCTACTAAAAGACTTGGGCCCGTCCAGAACCAACATTAATTCATTCTCGGAACGTACGTCGAAAGCAGCCCTAGCAGGTTCCTTCCAAATTTGGCTAGGTAGGGAGAGGAACTTGGACAGTGGAGGTGAGCGTACAACGCGCGTTAGTTAAGGGGCCCCTTAAACCCACACCTGGGTCGCAAGTCCCAGGCACTGCTGAAGCTCCCCTCCCTGCAACGCGATGGACCCGGCACCCGCACGGTGAATCCATTGAATGCTAAGCGGTTTCGTCCCTTGTACCTCAGGAAGTTTGTCACGCCACGTTTTATGGGTATCGTTTTCTATAATAGTTAGCAGACATTTTAAAATCTGCATGACCCTTTCTACTTGACCGTTGGCTTTATTTGCCCCTGTTGTTATAAAGTAAAGTTCTATACGAGGTGTTTTACTCAATTCTCTAAAGTCCGCGCTTACAAAGCCCCTTCCCCGATATAAGAATTCGCTTGAGAGCACCGAAAAGAGAAACAGCTTTTCTCAACGCTTTAATAGTACAACTGGCATCGAGGGA